CGCAGTTTGCCCGTCTTCTGTCCATGCATATTGCTTTCGACATCATCTACTTCCCGGGCTGGGTCATTATGGGCGCCATCCTTTGGGCTCTGGCTTTCCAAACCTCCAACCCTGCCATATTGATCATCTTCCACATCCTTGCTGGCCTGTCCTTGACCAGCTTCTCCATCTTCGGCGCAGCTTTCTTCCGCAAAGCCCAACTATCTGGTATCACCATCGTCATCGTCCCGATCCTCCTGGCCATCATCGCCCAAGTCGCTGGACCTTTCAGCACAGCTGCTGTATACGTTCTGAGCCTGCTCTTTCCGTCCATCAACTACGTCTTCTTCATTATTTGCGTGGCCCGTTTTGAGCGACAGCTCGTTGGAATGAACCTCGTCCAAGCCGCGCCCGACTACCAGGACCACATCTGGACTACTCCCGGCATCGTCTTCTGCATATTTGCCATTATACAGACTTTTGTGTACCCTGTTCTGGGCGCTCTTGTTGAGCGCTGGCTCTACGGCACCGTTTCGGCCGACCGGAAGACTACAACGTCTTCGCCGGATCACAACATCATCCTGACAAACTTTTGTAAGCACTGGACTCCCAGTTGGTTTCGCAGCAACGTCCTTGCCAAGTTCGGCGTCAAGCCACCGGAAACAGTCGTCGCCGTGCAAGACTTCAGCATGAAGGCGCGCAAAGGCCAGATTATGGTTTTGCTTGGTGCCAATGGTAGTGGCAAGTCCACCACGCTGGACGCCATCGCGGGTCTCAACTCCATCACTAGTGGAGCGATCGAGATTGATGGCACCGGAGGCCTTGGACTGTGCCCCCAGAAAAATGTCATGTGGGATGAGCTGACTGTTTACGAACACGTTCGTATCTTTAACCAGTTAAAGTCAACCGGCACCTACGATACCAAAGATACCATCGAAAACCTGATACGCGCTTGCGATCTGGGGCACAAGATCAGAGCACAGTCCTGCACACTTTCTGGGGGTCAAAAGCGCAAGCTTCAGCTGGCCATGATGTTCACCGGCGGTTCAAAAGTCTGCTGCGTCGATGAGGTGTCGTCCGGATTGGATCCACTCTCGCGAAGGAAGATCTGGGAGATTCTACTCGCTGAGCGGGGTGACCGCACCTTCTTGCTCACGACACATTTTCTCGACGAGGCAGATGTCCTTGCCGACTACGTTGCCATCCTTTCCCGCGGTATCCTCAAAACGAAGGGTACTTCGGTTCAGCTCAAACATGAAGTCGGCGCTGGATACCACGTTACGTATCCGAAAGACGCTCCTGTCAAGCCCCCAGTGGATGCCATCAAGAAACCGGCACCTTCCGAAGGCATGCTACAGTACCAATTCGAGAACGCACTGCCCGCCACCAAATTCGTTGATATTCTGAGACATCATGACGTCAAGAACTACGACATTGTTGGCCCGACATTGGAGGATGTCTTCCTGGCCAATGCTGAGGAAGTCAAGGAGTACAACCTAATGGACGCTGACCACGGTGGGCAAGCTGGAACCCCAACGTCGGACAAGGATCGAGACGTACCTTCAGATCACTCTGACACCGACAAGACGCTAGAAATGAGCAAAGGTCGTGGCACTAGTCTACTCAGGCAGATACTCATACTTGTACAGAAGCGTATCACCATTGTCAAACGCAACTTTTGGCCCTACATATTCGCTTTACTCCTTCCGATTGTGGCGGCGGGACTAGTCACACTGTTCCTAAAGGATTACGAGGCTGTGGGATGCGATCCTGGAGCCAGCGCTAACGATCCTACCATATTCTCGCTTTCCAACGTAGACGATGTCCCTCTCATCCCCATCGGTCCGGCAAGTACCGTCGGTCCTGCTATCGACACCATCATTCAACGAACAGGAGTCTCCGAGGACAGTTTTCACCTCGTGGACACACTCGATGAATTCAACGACTACGTCAACACGCGTTTCCGCAACATCACACCCGGTGGCTTCTTCCTAAATGATAACGGCCCGCCACTCATGGCTTACCTTGCTAATGGCGGTGTCATCGGTGGCCTCATCACACTGAATACTCTCGACAACATCTTGACAAACATCACCATCTCCACACAGTACCAGCAATTCGCCGTGCCATTTGCTCCTAATATGGGCGACACGCTACAGCTGATTTTGTATTTTGGCCTGGCCATGTGTGTCTACCCAGCGCTATTTGCTCTATATCCGACACAAGAGCGGCTTAGGAATGTCCGAGCGCTGCACTACAGCAACGGTATCCGGGCTGTGCCACTGTGGCTGGCATACACGGCGTTTGATTTCCTGTTCGTGCTTGTGATCTCTGCCGTCACTACAGGGATCTTTGCTGCAGTAAGTTCCTATTGGCACATACAAATCTGCATGGCTAACGTTGCTACAGGCTTCCGATGCGTGGTATGCACCAGGGTACCTCTTCGTGGTGTTCTTTCTCTACGGCCTGTGTGCGACGCTCTTTGCTTACCTAATCTCCATTGTCGTCACGTCGCAACTGGCGGCATTTGCCTTCGCTGCTGGAGGCATGGTGTCGCTCTACCTGATATACTTTATCGGTTACATGGCCATACTGACTTACGCACCCGCATACGCCATTGACTCCTACATTCAGTACTTCCACTGGACTGTCTCGTTGATCTCGCCCTCAGCAAGCCTACTGAGGACGCAACTGCTTTCTCTCAACTCTTTCAGCGTACTATGCGATGGCAATCAAATTCCCAGCTATCCTGGCGCTTTGACAGTGTACGGAGGACCCATTTTGTATCTCATTGTACAAATCATATTGCTTTTCACCGCTCTCGTGTGGTGGGACTCGGGCTACCGACCCGCGTTTCTCAACCGAGAAAAAAGCCGTCAGCAGCACTCGGAAGAGAATGTGGATACCATCCCTCCTGCTGTCGCTGCCGAAATAACACGCGCTGAGCAGAGCAAAGACAGCCTACGTGCGCTGCATTTACACAAAACGTTCGGCTCCAATCACGCTGTGAACGACATCACCTTTGGCATTCCCCAAGGCCAGGTTTTCGCTCTTCTTGGTCCCAATGGTGCTGGAAAGTCCTCGACTATCTCGCTCATCCGTGGAGACATTCGTCCTACGACACACATCAACGGAGGTGGTGACGTTCTGATCGAAGACATCTCAATCATCAGCAAGCGTGCAGCCGCACGAGGTCATCTCGGTGTGTGTCCGCAATTCGATGCCATGGATTCAATGACAGTAACGGAGCATCTGTACTTCTACGCTCGCGCTCGCGGCGTCCCCGACCCAAAGACCAGTGTTGATGCGATCCTCCAGGCTACCAGTTTGGGGCGCTTTCACGACCGTCTCGCGTCCAAACTCTCGGGTGGTAATAAGCGGAAGCTCAGTCTGGGCATTGCATTGATGGGCAATCCGTCTGTTTTACTGTTGGACGAACCGTCCTCGGGTATGGATGCAGCTGCGAAGAGAGTCATGTGGCGCACACTGCTCGGTGTAGCGGCACCTGGGCGTGCCTTGTTGATCACCACTCATTCCATGGAAGAAGCGGACAAGCTCGCCACCCGCGTCGGTATCATGAAGCGCAAAATGCTTGCGCTGGGGACAGTCAGTGATCTAGGGCAGCAGTATGGCGATGCTTGGGTCGTACAGCTTGTGCTCAAATCTGCACCCGAAACCACAGAAAAAGAGATGGAAGCCGTAAAGCAATGGGTTCAGAGGAAGATTCCCGGTGTTCAGCTCGACAAGTGGGGTTCGCGAGGTGGAGGCCACGGACAACTCCGATTCAAAGTACTCAAGGCTGCTTCCCCCGAATCGACTGCATCGCCCGCGCATCTTGACAATGCTCAAGATGGCAAGGTCACCGAAGCAGAGGTTCACCCAATCAACACTTCGTCCTCAGCTGCTTCAGCATCTGATCTAGGCGGCATTCCCGGCCTCATCCAGTTGCTAGAATCTAATCGCCAAGAGCTAGGCTTGGAATACTACTCGGTTTCGCCTACCACCTTGGACGAGGTGTTCCTCCGGGTTGTTGGCGAGGAGGAGGAAGAGACGAGTGGAAAGAAACCAAAGGGTACAAAGAGGAATGGATGGGGTCGCTTCATATGCTGTGGCTTGCTGCCTGCTTAGTGTGTAAACACTGTCGCAGAGACAAGCTGCCAGGCAAGCAACGAGCAGTCAGGATAATGAGTGATTGGGAAACTTCTCCCTGAGCCTTGACGTTGTATGATACCACAGCATTTAGCTTCTGTATATAGCTTGTCTAGTTATCCCACTTTATAATAGTCGAGCCCTAATCTTTTCGCCTTGAAGCTTGTTGGGCACGTTCCGCAGTCCTCACACGTCTTTTCCCAAACTCTCAGAATCGACTAGTGGAGTCTATGGGATGCTGGTGTTAAGATAACCCGACTTCGCCGTGAGTTCTCGGTAATCCTCAGCCAGTCTTTGTAGCGTCGCGCACCTGAGATGCCGCCATCGCCTACCTGGTCACTCAACAGGCCATATTGTACCACTCACTATCTGGTCGATATACTTTTTCCCAATAAAATTCTTCATGCCTCTCATTTGAGTCATAGCTCTTATTGCTGTCGAACAGTGTCTCGGTGTATATTGCAATCTTCTCGGTACTGAGGTGCTGCTACGGGATTAACTGCTCTTCCTTTTCTCTCAGATGCAGCCAGCTCTCCAAGATATCGAAGATCATTGAGTAGACTTCATGTCTGGATCGTTTGTTCAAGCGACCCCGGTCGACAAGCGTTGCAGTTCGTATGCGTGTTCATCAGACGGCTCTACACACATAGTCAAGTCCAACCCAGGTTGCGAATGAGCGCTCCAGACATATCGAGGAAGACGCACATGTGTGGTGACTCTGGGGCAGGGGAACTCTGAAACGGATTTGAAGATTTATTTACTTATAATTATGTAGACAACGTAATGTAGGCTGGCCTGCAGCTACTACAATAGAGGAGATATAGATATATAGCGCATCACGTGAAGAGGAGTCTACACACCGACACTGGGGTCTAAGAGATGAAGTACTTTGCTTGCACCGCGCGAGTGGCAGCCCCCTTAGTAGCCCCCTTAGCAGCAGCAGCAGCAGCAGCTCCTGCTCCTGCTCCTACTGCCGCTCCAGCCGCCGCTCCACCAGCTGCCATGTTGCTCATAACAAATCGCGCAGCCTGAGCCGCGTTAGCACCATACGACAGGTGAGGTGCCAAGATGATAGGCTGGCCTGCACAGATGAGGTCGCCAGGTGCGCAGATGATTTTAGTGTTTGCTGCTGCGACTTTGCCGACCGGTTTGCCGTTGTTTGGGTCACCGAATATGACTGCGCTAGACACAAATGCCGAGTCCTCGGCACTAAGCATATCAGCAGCATTGTGGACAAGCTGACCACCTTGTCTAGATCTCTTGTTAGACTTGCGAATCATGTGAAAGATATTGAGGGCAGTGTGTTACTTACGAGTAGCCTGCCATTACTAGTGTAGTGTCCGGGCATTGGGCCCGAACCTGTCCGACCATCTGTGCCATGAGCTGGCTGCCTCCTTTGTCTCCACCAACAAGAAAACCAGGCACATCTGCTGGGTACTGGATGCCCTGAACAGCGACGTTACCAGCACCTCCCATCATCGCGCCAAGAGCGATGGCAAAAGGTGGTCCAGCAATTGAACCCATATTGCCCAACTCAGTCGTTCCGCGGGCAAAGAGGACAGTCATGGGCTTGCAGCCGCCGCCGCTCTTCACATCATTTTGTGAGATTGAGGCGAGGGCGGCAAGTGTGACTGACGGTAGGAAAAAAATAAGGAATTTCATAATGATAGAGTCGTCTCGCTTTGTTCCGTCAAGGAAGGGATATTAAGGTATTACAAAGTATTATGCGAATATGGATAAAACAAGTAGGGGTATTGGAAGAGAAGATATGGAATGTATGGACTGCTGTTCACCACAAGAAGCATGCGACAAGCCCCTTTATAGTATCATATAGCAAGATGCCATGGTTAACGCTGTTCATTTAACCACCGCTTTTTATGAGTTTGAACATGTAGTATACTCACCTGTCATGTTTTCACTTGTTTTCCAAAGACACATCAAACGTCATGCCAGACCGCATGTAGCACGCATACTGGCAGTCAAGAGTGTCGTGCGACATATTCTATGAGCCCTTCCATGTCGGTTCAAGCTCGTCGGGAACGGGGTTGGGGCTAGAGCTACATGCCAGTAGCCGTTGTCCCCACGCACCTGGCCAGGTCTGCGACAGCTGTTGCCGAGGTGGACGAGCGATGTGCATGGGCAGCAGGAACGATCGAGGCGACGAGCTTCATATGGTGAAGCTGCCATGAGATTTGTGGCGGTGTCTCCTGTCCCTGAGTCTGGTGCTCTGTCGTTCGCGTGACTTGTCGTCAACTGCCCTCTGGATTGCGCTCAAGGCTCCCGACTTTGCGCTTGGACAATGTGAAGGGCCAATCGCATCCCACATAAGTATGTCTGAGCTGAATCAGAGTTCTCGACATCTCACAACGTCATCGGCAACCTGGTGTTCGGCCAAAACCATGTCTCATGACTTTGGGAGTTGTCGCATCGCGTCACATGCTGTGGCTGTTTCAGAAACCCGTTCCATGCCTCCACACCTCGAATCGTCGTGCGTTCCAGAGTCCAGGCCAAGCAACGTTCCAAGCCTACGGTAGCACAACATGCCGGCGATGGAAACAACATGGTGCGCATATATCGTCGCGAAGATGCCGCGGTCCGCAAAAGCTTGGTGGAGTCTTGCAGTCAGCCAGGCGGCCAAGGACTCGGGGAAGGGCGATGTCGAAGTAGCTGTGGGCCGACAGATCATGGCCCAACATCCTTGGCCACTGCTGTGAGTCTGCGCTGATCAGGCCCGTGCAACATGTCTCCATTTTGGACGTGTTGAAAAAGGCTGAACGCTGGTAGCAAGGCGAAATAAAGGGCGGCAGTGCCTCTTTGGTGTTGCGCGTTGGCCGTAGGAACCACCCCGCCTTCGCCCTAAGAGGAAGGTGCTAGCGACTGTGCAATATCCCGGTCTGTGGTGGTCCATTTGTATAATTGTCTACGACGCAGCCTCGAGTCCAAGTGTTGGTAACACACAGGCAGCATGCCTCTTCAGGTCCACCGCATAACCTCGGCAGCCGACTTTGAAACCTTCGTCGCCATACAGATCGCCGCCTTTGCCAACGGCGGTGGTATCACTTCCCTGCTCACGCCTAACCCCATCACCGACGAGTACATCCAAAAGTCTATCGAAAAGCACGTCAAGTCTTGGCGCGACGAGCCTGACGTTGTGTATCTCAAAGTCATCGATACCGACGCCCATGGCAAGATGATCGCAGGCGCCAAATGGCGCATCAACGAGCGGGAGCGCAGTGAGGGAGAAGCCAGCAAGATGTATCCAGTGCCAGATGATGAAGCCAAGGGAAGACAGGGCTTGCTAGACTTCATGGTATTCCTGAGTCGAGTAAGAAGGGAGTACATGGGAACGAAGCCCTTTTACTGCTAGTATCCAGCGCGCTACGTCGGAAGGTGTTGCTGACGGACAACAGTTTTGCATATCCTCGTAACGCACCCAGATCACCACCGCCGAGGTGCAGGATCTATGTTACTTGAGTGGGGCACCAAGCAAGCGGACCGCGCGAGACTACCTGCCTTCTTGGAGTCGTCCCCGATGGGCAAGCCTTTGTACGGGAGAATGGGATTTCAAGCTAAAGAAGGTAAGTCTTGAGCCTGAAAGCATACATGTGCTACTACTTCTGCGTGTATGGCACACGCTAACTCTATGCTCTCAATGCTACAGTGGTCACGTGGGACTTGTCAAAATATGGCTTGGAGGGGACAGATACCAGTACAGTGATGCTTCGTGAGCCCAGCATACACGCGATATGAGGTGCTATAGATGCGACCTCGTGTGCAAGAGAAGCCGAAGGCTGTTGGAAATGGCGGGTAAGGACACGGCACCTCCAAGACGTGTGCGCCCGCACTATTCTCTCTAGCAGCCTCTCCACGAAAGAGACGTCGCAAATCCACTCCTTCTACATGATATATCTGTTCCCCACCCTGACTTGGACTTTCACGCCTCTTTTGCTCAAAGCCTCGACCCTTCTTGTGAACTCGTTCTGCTCTTCATTCTTTTCCAACGCCAGAACCTTCGCGGTTTCCTCCAAAACAACTTTGGTCAACTGGTCCATCTTATCTAGCGCAGCCAGGAAGCGCTCACTCCTATCTCCGCTTTGTTTGCTTTTCGAAGCAATGCAGGGCTGCACAAGAACAAAAGCCTTGATCTCGGAGATGGCTGGTCCCGCACACCAAAAGAAGAGATCCGCAGTCTGCAGGCCAAGGAACTTGAGGGAGAAATTGGCGCAAATGTAGGAGAGACATTCGGCCCGTATCTGGCGACAGACGCGGAAGGCAGAAAGATGCAGCACAGATGCGGCGAGATGCTCCGGCTTAGTGCAATTTGCGATCACGAGCGAAGAAAGCTCTGGGTAGATGGCCATGGCGTAGATCATATTTCGTATCTCGCCTGGTAACTCGAGAAATGCACCGTGTGTCTTTTGTGACTGCATTGGATTAGCTGGCTAGATTGACTCAGTAACGACACGTCGGGTGTATGTTATGTACGTGTGACGCTAACCCACTGACGCGGAGCTGTTTGTGGCGCAACCATTTGGTCCTCATTGTCTTCATCATGTGCCGGAGAGAGACGTTTCTGGTGGCAGGACAGGGACAAGGGATTAATACAGCTTTCGCAATGATGGGGACTGCGGGCAGCTGCCGCCTTACCGCATTAGGATAGTCCACCTTGATGATCGCAGCGCGCCTGGGTAGCTCTCTTATTAAGGCGTGATGTGGACGGAAGCTGCCTGTGCATACAGGACATACGGCGTAACGCTTACTATCTCCTCCGTGACTATTACACCTTTGCGCCAAGTACCTCGTTTGCGGTCGCCTATCCAGGGCTTTTCTGGCCGTCTCTCGAAGTTCAGGCGGACACAAGCGCATATTGCAGAGTGGTGACGGCGCGCGAGACCAGCGGCCGCGGCGCGTCGACAAGCAATTGCGGAGTTCTCGGAGGTGCCAAGACAACGTCACAAGTTTGAGACAGCGACTTGGCACTCTCGCTCCTCAACCAAGCTCGCCACGATGCTCTCGCGCACGTGTACACGCTCAAGCGCTTTCCTGGGAGCTCGCGCTACACCATGTCCTTTTGCTCGCCCCCCACCAGTGCTGCTCCGACGCGGAAAACGCACCAAAGCCAGCTATCCCGATGGGTCGGAGCACGATGCAACGACGAAATCCAAGCCCTCGCTCCTAGGCCGGCTCAGAGGCTCACGCTCCATCTTCGAGGATGACGCGAAAATGGACCAGGCAATGCGTCCGCTGTCCGATGCCGAACTCGAACGCGACGACCTGCCCGTCATCAACTGGTACGAGCAGGACTTGGACAAAGGCACGCCGCAGCGCCTGATTGAGCGCATAGCCACGCCCGAAGACCGCAAGAAGGACAGAGACATGTACCTGATGATAGAAGAGTCTCGGAAGAACCCCGACCATGACGACGCAACTTTGAACCGGCGGCTCATCGACAGCCTCCTGACAAATCCAAACTTCGCCGAACTGACGGATGAGCTCCAGCTCATCAAAAAAGGCATCAAGTCGAGGGAGGAGCTCCAGCAACTGAAACAACAGGGCGCTGTCAAGGCAGAGGCAGAGAGCAAGCAGTTCAACGCCGGCTTACGGATGGCGACACTTGAAATACTACAAGACGTCCTCGAGGACCCGGACATCGGAGACGCAAAGGCCGACCTGCAAGCGTGCATCGACCACATGCCTGAGGTGGAAAATATAGACAATCCCGTGTTCCAGGCTATGCTGAACAAGGCAATGCACAAGCTTGAGGGCAACGAAGCTATGCAGAACAAGGTCGCCGCTATGCGTAAACGCCCCGACTCCGAATTGGAGCGCGAGTGGCAGACTTATCAGAGAGAGACCGAAGACGCCATTGCTCAAGCAGAGGCTCCAAACGAGGACCTGACTATGGCGACACCCGAAGACATGCAGGACGTGGACAAGCTCCTGCACCAGATGCGGGATGTCATGAAGTCGTTGGGTGGCGACACCGGGCTCGAAGCCGAGCTCGACGCAGCGATCAACGAAGACTCCACATCGGGTCAAGATGAAGAGGGTGTGTTCGAGCGTGAAATGGACCCCCAAGAATTGGCCGAAGAGCTGAAGAAGCTCGCCCAGTCCAAAGCATCGCAGCCCGGAGAGCTTGTGGAGGACGAAGAAGATGTTCCCGCTGAGCTCCAGGCCAAGGTTGACGAGATCATGAAAGACCCGAAGCTGATGGAGAAGCTAATGTACATACAAAAGCTCATTTCCGAGAACAGGCAACAGCAAGGCCATCTGACTTCTATCGCCCACGAAACTGCACCTGACCCCTACCAACTCGCGGACAGCCGCACTGCGCCGCTCAGCGAGCGTATGGCTGCTGCCCTTCAAGACCCAGAGCACGTTGCCGCTCTCCAACGCCTCCGCGTCGACCTCCCCCCACCGTTCAACATTGCGCCCGCCCTGAAATCGTTCAATAAAGCCATTGAGCTTGCCTATATCGGCGCAAACGATGACATCCGCCGAATACTCTGGCGCTCGTACCAGAAAGCGCGATCGTTGCCCACGTTCCTACAAAACATTGGTGACGAGGCGTGGGACATACTGTACTACTCGCAAGCGGTCACCTGGGGGAGTAACCAGAACCGAGAGAATCATCTCAGGATGCTGCTGGCCGACCTTGAGAGCATAGGGAGAGATGGGCCACCTACCCATCCCAGTACGCTCGCTGATGGAGGTGTTGAGCAACTAAACACATGACCGGCTTGAAGACCAGGTGTAACTGTACGATATGACGATTTATATATGATACCCCACCCAACATATTCGCAATGGAATAGCCCTTTGCAAATGTTGCGCTGTCTTTACAACGCCCTCATCCGCATGCGTTTGCTCCGCCATCTACCTTTGGTCTCTGATACCAGCTCTCATGCAGATAATCTTTCTTTGGTCCGTCCACCTTGTATCTGATCATGAACCGATCGATCTTTGCACCACGAAACTTGAATTCGCAGTCATTCTGATACGTGTCGGGATCGCACCAATGGCAGCCCGTAGCCATCCAGCCGCCAGCCTGATCATCAGGCGCGTGGAAGCGCCAGGTATTGAATAGCTTTCCGACACTTTTTTCGTCGTCTTCAACAAACCATGTGGTGATCTCATCGCTTGTTTCGTTGTACCTATAGACGTAACGACGGGTCGCAGGGAATGACAGCCCAGCGTCCATGGTGAATGTCCCTTGTTCGATATACAAGTATTCGGAGGCGTAGGTCGCTGTATCGGTAGATTGACGCGGATGGAAGTGAGCTGTACCCACGAATGTGCCACCGGGTGTCTGGGTACGTGAATCAATCTTGCGCGTCATCTTCCAGACACCTTGCATGCCTGTGAACACGGCCGCTGCAACAAACCGAGCATGCTCCTGGGATGCCTCGAGTATTCCGGCAACTTCGCTGACTACTGCCTTGGCTTGCAGACTGCTATCTGTGTGTCGATAGCGCGATGGGAATGCGGGACCCGATTGACTACCGAATAGGGTGTCGTCACGTGAGACGCCCGTTTCTCGTGCGAACTCTTCCATTAGTCCAACGTAATCGGCCATCCAGAACTGCGGCACTTGCAAGGACCTCTGACCCATGGCATTTTGCATATGCCTCGTATCATCATACGTGTACAAGGCGGATGAGAGAGACGCCGACTGCTCAGGCTCTCGTTTGGCCCAGCGTTGCGCCAGAAGTCGAGCCTGCATTTCCATCACGCCCCAGTAAGGGCCTTCGTAGAAACCCACGAACCCAATTGTAGGTATTTGCTGCGAAAAGACGGAACCACGTGACAGGGGATATGGTATGCGCGGATTCGGGTTGTCGCTGCCGTCAGCGAGAAGGGATTGGACACGGGCGTCGAGCCAATCGAGGTCGGCTTTGTAGCCTGTGGCTTCAATGATACCGACCACATCACGCAGTCTGCTCTCGCCCTGTAAAGTGTTAGCCTTTTCGATGCGCCTAGACTCTCGAGTAAGCAGAGTACCATAGCTTTTGCGCCTGGCCCATGGAACCAGGGCTCATATTGGCCAAGACGAATCTCTAGGCAAGCACCGTTGGCTGCCTGCTCGACGTGTTCAACCCATCCCCGGACTGGCACAATGATGCCACTTCTGACAAACTCCATATACGTGTCGGTTATACCGGTGTAGCCAGGGTGTTGTGTCTGGGTCGCCGTGTACGCGAGCTCTGAGAAGCCGACGTCGGCGTGATGGCAGCCTATACTTGATCGTAAGAAGTCGTGGCCTTTCTTTGCTTTTTCTGGTGGAACGGTGGTGATAGCTGCAGAGATGTCTCCATGGCCGCGACGGGACAGATTGTAGAGAATCAGATCAAGGGGAAGGAATCTAGGTGCTGGCTTGAAATGCCCGTCGTGGGTCTGAGGGTCCTGTGGAAGGTAGCGGGGCAGGCAGTAGAAGGGACGATTGATGACGTGGAAAACCCTGCTGTCGGCGTGGGAGGGTGTCATTCCACCAGGCGAGTGCTTTGCGTTGGAGATCTGAGAAGCAGCCTGAGAAGCAGCCTCTGAGCCGCTGATGCCGCCTCCAATCACGACTATCTTGCCGGGGGTTTCCGTCAGGGCAGAGAGAGTCCGAAATCGTGAGGAGTGTTGGATGTTTGAGAGAGGGTGGGAGGGAACGGGATTGAAGGTGTGGGCTGGCTTGTTAAAGAAGCCGCTGGCGACGACGAGTCGATCAAAGGTACGGGATGTTAGCTGACGGGTGCCGTCGGCACTGACCACTCTCCAAGTATGATCTTCTTGCAGTGATGCGCTGACAACTCGGTGCTCGAGGAGTATGTCGTCAGTTAAGCCAAGGGTTTCTGAATACGCCGCAAGATAGCGGCCCACGTGCCTAAAGATGGATGTACGAAGTCAGTAACTGTCTCACAGCATGCTGTACACGGATTCTACCTGCCACGCTTTGGGAAAGACAGGCGGAACAGCTAGTGGATCGGCAGCAGGGTTCGAGATATCTACATGTACCGATGTCCAAGCCAGATCAGAAAAGGCAACAGTGTATCTGCTCAGGTTGGCGCGCATCTCCGGACTGCACTTGTCGCCAAATTCCCCGCGGTCATGTCTCCACATGCCGCCTACACGGTCTGCGGCCTCGTAGACGGTGACTGCGAAGCCGTGCTGTCTGCAGATGTGTGCAGCCGCCAGACCTGCGGGCCCAGCGCCGACGACGCAGACGGACTGTTGCTCGACCGGGGCATCCATGGCCAGGACGGGGTTGGGAATTCGGGGCAGCAGTGTCTGAACAGAGGCTATTCGGAGAGTAGGCCAGCGTTGATGAGGGTGCCCTTGATGGTCTGGAACTGTGTCTTTCCATGCTGGGTAGGCGTTAGCAAAGGGCCAGGGCACGCTGCGGGGGTTCTGGGGCGGCGGACTGAAATCAGATATCGAATGTGGCCCAGGTCAGTGACGGAGCGGTGTTGGTCGAACTCGGAGCGTGCAAAGCGGCGCATGTCTCGTCGTGCGCCTGCGTCGGGGATGCTGGCGGTGCTGCGGACAATGTCTCGCCACAGGGCCAGGGCGCGCTGGCGCTGGATGAACTGCAGGACCGTCAGCGGGCGTGGCGCCGGGCCGGATGCGTCGTGGGACAGGTACGTGGTCCAGGCCCACGGGAGCTTTTCCTCGTGCGCGTAGGCGGGAGGGCGGCTTGGAGGCGACGGTCGCGTAGGCGCGCAGCATGGCGGTGCGATGTGTCGAGGGCGCGTCCCAGTGCCCAAGGTTGGCGGTTGGCGGTGGGCGGTGGGCGGTGGGCGGTTGATGGTTGGCGGCTGGCTGGCGGCGGAATCGTCACCTCACCACCATGTACTCGCCCCAGGCCCTCGCGCGCATGCAGACGGTGCAGACGCTGCTGCGCCAGGACGCCGCCCTCAGTGCCTACGAGGCGCCCCAGCGACCCTGCCCCGTCGCCATCCACTGGGTCCCCTCCGCCCTCGACCTCCGCCCGGGCGAGCTCGACGCCTGCCTCGGCCTCGTCCACGCCACGTCGGGCCACGACTACGCGGCTTCGGCCATGGGCTGGGACCCGCGCAGGAAGCGCGACGAGATGCTCGACGCCGACATGATGTATCTGCTGCTGCGCCCGGCCCAGGGCGGCCCCGACGCCATCCTCGGCTTCACCTCCTTCATGTTCACCCACGACGACCCCCCGCACCACGACCGCCCTGTCCTCTACATCTACGAGATCCATCTCCACGAGCGCCTGCGAGGACAGGGCCTCGGGTCCCGCCTCATCCAGTTCGTCGAGAGCGTGGCGCGCGCATGTCACATCCCCAAGACGATGCTGACCGTCTTCACCGCAAACACGCGCGCAAAGAGCATGTACCACAGCCTGGGCTACACCAGGGACGAGTGCAGCCCCGTCGACAGGACCACGAGGAACAGGGTCATCCCCGCCGAATACGCCATCATGAGCAAGTCGATGGACTGAACACCATACATTGCTAGTCTTCATCAGCCCATCCTCACTCCACGGGAACAAACACCCTGTCAATGTCCGGCCCCCAGCCCTCATCCACCCCGCCAACCTTGACTTCGTTGACGCCCTGCTCCACGTTGACGTGCACCACTGAACTTGCCGGGCCTCCTCCCCCGTCTGGCAAGAACGCCGCCCTCTGCGATTTCCCATTCACACTGATGGCTGCATACCTTTGCTGCTTGTCGCCGTTGAGATGCTTGATCCTTACAGTCGTGCGCGTCGTTGCTGAAGATTCCACCTTGGAAAACGTGGCGGACCCCGAGGGCACGCCGCCAATGTACCCAATTGCCTTCGAGCCCGAGCACGAGGAGCATGCTTGAGATATGGCTCCGTTAGCAAGCTCTGCCGTCTCGCCTTCGTACCTGTTTTCGTTGGGCCCAGCCCTGCTGGCTCCAGTATCGGGATCCAGGATCCAGTTGACAGCGTTCTTCATGCTAGCCGTCGTTCCAGATATCTCAACCGGTAGCCATACGTATGTGCTTCTCATCAGATTCTCACTGTGCCATCGGTCCCCCATGTACACGTATCCATCCCCTACAGACAATACAAAGCTTGTTTGAGAAGCGTACGTGTTGGACCCAGAGTCGGCGAACTTTTGCCATGACGACCATGGACCCGAGAGAGACGTCGACGTGCTGTAGTAGTTGTCATTCGGGCTCCACCCCGTAAGCTGCGAGGCGAACATGAAGTAAACGCCTTTGTGTTTGATCATGGCCGGAGACTCGTATTTTTCTTTCCAGACGTAGACATTGCTGGAAACGCTGAGATAATCATCAGACAGTGCGTTGATGCGTAGGCCGTTGCGGCGCTGGCTTCGTCAGAAACAGGTCCCTACTGTGCTACGAGGCAGTCATACGTCTTCGGTCAGTAGATAGCCCTTGCCGTCGTCATCGACAAACACGCCAGAATCTCTACTCTCGAAGCCCAGTGGTCGTTCGCTGCGTAGATACGAATACTTTCCGCAAACGCTGTCGCCTATTGCGACACCAATCTTCGCCTCACCATAGTCGGCGCTGTCAATGTGAGCCCACAGGACATACTTACCCGTTCGCTTGTTGTGCATAACTTTTGGTCTCTCAATAACACGATCGGGCCCTGTGTCGCCAGATGCAGTCCGCGAGATCAGAGCGCCTTCATAAGACCATTCGACAAGGTTGGTAGACGAATAGCAGTTGATGTTTGTGAAAGCGGTTCCGTTTGTTTTATCTTCGCCAATCCTGCGGGCGCATCAGCACCGGTAGAGGCCGCCCTTGCGCGTAGAGCTATTTACCAATACCACTTTTCGCCATCTTTGATGATGCCGGCGCCGTGAGCCTGAATGTGCTGGCCTGTGTTGGTCTGGTGTAATGTCAGTTGCCATTTGCTCATGGGTACGACGAAACGCACTGCTGTCCAGGTCGCGCCAGGTACAATCTGGAGCGTCGCATTTACGATCAAGCCGGACAGGCCAAAGCCTACGAGTCTGAGAAGTCGCATGGCGGTATTGTAAGATCAAGTCTCAGATGCCAGCCAGAGCAATTGTCTATGCAGAGTGCCTGGAATTTATAGGCGCATCAGCAGATTCTCCCGTAAGTTCCTGACAATCTGCCGACTGGGTCGACCGCGAAAGGCTCGTCGCTCATTGACGGAAAAGGGGCACTGCGCTACATAGTGTCACGAGCAGACATGACTGTTTCAATAATTCTGGTGGCGTATGACTACCGGGACAAGGGTAATAGACGAGTTGTGGGGAAGCTTTAGTCCCGGAAGCTATGCTTGATCGAACGTTACCCGTGTACTGCACGTACTATACTGCAAACTCTGCACACGACGCTGCCTAGGTATGTATCGCCTGGATTGGCAATCACCCGATGTCCGTGGCTCTTTCAACATGGATACACACTGGCCTAGGTAGCAATGGAACAGGCCGCCCTCCGAAGCGCAGATACTACTGGAAGGGGAAAGCATGCCGCATCCAGTCGGCACAATACTGCGACCGAACCTTGGAAGCAATGGGACATATGGGCTAACGAGTGTATGCTCAACGTATAACTTGGAATGCCTGGCAACAGTACCGAGGTAGTTTGCGCCGGTCGAAAAAGGCACGTTGCTAGTTCTGAATTGGACAAGATGTTTGCTGCACTCGTACCAACGTTGCACCTGCGCAGGCAGCGTACGCAGCGCACCCACGACAGCGTCTTCGGGCTTGCTCATGCTTCTCGCCCGCAGTTTGACCCGCTGCTTCCTTTTGCGAAAGCTTGCCTGCTACGACCACATCCTTCTGGGCGCGATTCCACGTATATCAGATACGGCCCAGCAACCTCAGCAATGATGTAGCGTTGTGTTAAGTTTACTGATCATGCATCTTCAGGGAACCTAGGTACCTGGATACTCTACAAGACATCAGAGATTGAACGTCAACAGACGACCATCGTTCACGTCCCTGATTTGAGCCATTCGCAAGTACCTTTGATGATCGGATAATTGCGAAGGGCCAACGACTTCGACATATTCCATACATTTGGACTGTCTCAGTACAATGCATTCCAGAATGTCCAGCACGTTGCGCTCTCATGTAAGATAACGGCACATCGTCTAAATAGGAGATTGTGTGTTTTCAAATCAGACGCCTCAGTTTCACACTCGAGCAAACCCGTGTAAGAATACCGTAAAGACTTTGTATCAAATCGTTGAGCAGCAAGCAATATTCCACAGGCGCCAGGGAGCTTCCGAGCTAGCGTTTCCCGGTAGATCCATCCTGCTACTTTTGTCACAACCTTTGCTTACGTTATTGCACAATATCCTTGGCCACTCCGACATAGCCAGATCCATTCTCGATCCATGTATTCTTCCAGATCTGCACCAGCTCTTGCGAAAGTCTTGTCATGTCGAGGTTCCTCTCACTTGAACTCGCTAGTACCTTCCAGCCTTGCTCGTGTTCTGCGCTCACATCATCGATCATGTATGTGTACTTGTCGAAATTGTCGGAGCCCGCAATGAGCATGTCATTCACACCATTGGCGAACCCGAATGTAGCGAGAACTTGGTTGTAGCTGACCCAAGCGGCGTCTGTCATGGGAATGCTGACCTTGTAAACGATATTGGGAAGGATGCCATCGCGTTCGACAACAGTGTGTAACGAGTCGGCCATGTAACCGTCGATGAAACAATACAGTTTTTCCCGGTCATCCTCACAAAAATGGACCCCTGCTCTGCGAATCATGCGGAGGGGGGCAATGAGAACAAGACGTTCCCTTGCCTTGGAAGCAGTCAGTCGCGCAACTCAAGCAAGAAAAGGACTTTGAAGCTTACATCAGGACCAGGTGTAACCGTACGGCACAGTGAATCGGATTCAGGTCTGGGCTTCATCTCGTATGCAGGCGTCGCAAGAGGCGTCGAAGTGAAGAGTGGCGTTATGCTGTGAAGAGGCGAAGACGAAGACAGCCCCGCAAAAGAAGCATGCGAATTTGATCTACCAGGAGGCGTGTCTCTGCCACCTACGGTATGACCAGGGATGTGATAGTCGAAGGGTGACCGGTATGATCCCTTCTCCCATCCATGCTTTGGCGCACCGGGCGGGATCAAGGCAGCCCGCCGAATCGAGTTGGCGACTTCAGATGCAACCGAACCTACAGCGGTTGTATGTTCTGGACGAAGAGAAAGGGAGGGCCTCCGCGTGTGTACGAGGTTGCGCGCGTCGGCCAGCCGGTTGCCAAAGCCGACGTCTGCAAAACGCGTATAGTTGCGGTTCTCCACCAGTCGCGGAATTGTCGGTGAGGACGCTGATGGGGAAGTAGAATTTATGCAAGGGGGGACCGACATGCTTTCCTGGTTGCTGATGGCGGAGAGTGATTGCAACGCGTGTTTCGACTTCAATTTGATGGTAAGGAGCTGGAGCAGAAGCGAAAGGGGAAGCGAACACACTAGAAACACGCTCTCAACTCGCTAAGAGGAAGCAGCCAAGCCTGTGACTGTTTGTGGTGACAAACACAAAGCTCCAGTGAAGGTGTAGCGCCATTCATTGAACCTTCAATGTGTGTTCTGCTTTGGGAGAGGCGACATGATCGATCTAGTTGCACGAGAAAATATCGATGGATTTCATTGTCACTACAATTTGTTAATGATATTCAGATTGTGGTCCGTGTTGTTTACCTAGGTAGTCACTAGCACTAGCGAAGAGGACTCGACACCCGTGCCGCTATATCCAGTATAGTCTGTAGAAGCCAACTAACATAGTCCCAGTGTGAAGTTTGGTATTCATCCACCGAATGCGAAAGCTTCCCTTCGCCTCAAGAAGAGAGAACTCAGATTCGATCGCAACTTGATGTCTATACTGCTTCCTAGACCATGCACTGGCGTCATATCAAATGGCGGGCACCATGGCAAAAGCGCCATCTGTCGGTACTAGAGACTTTCAGGGCCGAAGAAGCAGCGAAGGAAAGCGCTGTTGTTGTTCGCAGAATTCGGGACGGCAATATTGAGGTATGTCCTGAGTGTTTTGATAGAGTCTAGAACATTTGTTTCTCTAACGCTAGCCAGTATGTCACTTGCGGCCGTCTTGAAGACCAAGCAAGCATTTGGAATCGTTGCAAACGCTCACTACGCTACCTCCAGAACAGGCCGCGGCGGGATTCATCTCAACAGTACTTTGAGCATGACTCAGGCTCAGTGAAGAGCGGTGGAGAGACTGTGACAATGACCGTAAGAGAAGACGCGCACAACGAGGAAACACAAGAGTCTGGCAGTGAGCCCTGGGAGGGCGACTATACTAGCCTTCTAGCCGAGTATGGTATACGATAGTTGCCCCATAGTTTCCTGATGGCTCCTCCGCCTTTATTGCGTCTTATATCATACCCAGGTAGTCATGTACACCACCACATTCTGTACTAGATAGACACTGCAAGATCCATGTAGCTACCAAGAGCACGCTTTGTCACTATGCTATTTGGATAATGTCTCTGCCGGTGTTGTCAGATAGGAAAAGCGATATGATAACGCGGCGAATCCCATCTGGGTACCCCCAAAGCAGCGACGAAGACAAGATCAACTACACCAGCATAAGTAGCTAGGAAATGGGAAACAATTTCGCATTTGAGTATAGATCTTCCAGTAGTCCAATCACGTACGACCCTAATCTGATAGTATCAATGCTTGACCGTAATGAAATTGAATCCGGGCCTGTCTCGTTTTAGCAGCAGTACCGCTCATAGATGACGTATACTTTCCCTGGCCAAGACATTTCCCACCTCTGGATGTGGCCTCTGAAGTAAAGCTCTCATCTATCCCGCTCCTTGAACCGTCGACTCAGCTCGTAGAGCCTTTACAGCCGTCTTTAGCCACTTCCTCGCTCAACTCGCGCGTCCTGCCTACGAGATGGACTCGCGGCTACCGCACCCTCGCCAAATACAAGCACAGCTCCAGGCACTCGGCGACGAAATCCAGAGCATCCGCGAAGAACACGATGGCCACATTGTCGGGCTAAGCCAGCGTCTGCAACAAGCTGAGAACCGCCATCGACAACTCCTACATCAGCTCCAAATTGCTACGAACCGCTTTCCTGGACCGCCTGGCAGTAGTCACAGTGGTTACTCGAGTTCGACTGCCAACCTGGATAATCCTCTCCCTCTCTCGGAGTCTCTTATCGGTACTGGTCGCATCACAACACCTCCACGAGCACATACCGGTGGCGCCACGAGTAACGACAGGTATGATCGTACCCGCTTCTTATCATCAGGGGAGGCTTCTTCTAGATACAACAGCTATCCTAGTCGCCCATCCCCTGTTCCATCGGTGGATGCGAATGCTACACCATGCGCACAAAAAGCTGCTCCCCCAATGAACCCAGTCCGCCCTCAGCAGCCAGTCATTGGTAGTAAAAACAACGCAGCTTATCTTCCTATGGTCATGGAGAATATCATGTCCGAGCACCGCCGCCACAAACGTGAGGGCACCTTGAGATCTTGGTGAGATGCTCTCTGAGCGAGCGCTCATGAATGAATGATGGTGGCTAATGCATATCAGTGGATTCGTTGTTCCAGAAGGGCGGACCAGCGATGTCAAATGCTCTCAAGACTCTTTCCATATACCCTGCTTTCGTGCCAACCACTTCTACTATTGCCGACAACACATGCGTGTCATCCCTGGTGGGAAGACGGTTTGTAGCCATAGGAACAAGCAGGACTGCTTGGTGGTGATATTTGGTACGTGTTCCAAACGTGGCTCTTGTGCTCATACGTCAAGACTGTTAGTAATCATCCACAGAAGATCACGATGACTGGGACCTGATCGTGGATGCTGCACTCGCGGCAGGCAACCTTGGCAACAAAGGAGTGGATGTCGAGGATCTGAAAGAGGCTCTCTTCCCTCCTCAGAACTACTCTGATCGATACATGAGCGCCCCTGGCTGATTTGGAAGAAGATAAAGTACCCGGTGGTATGAGAAGGGTTTTAGGGCGAGGAAGGGCAGAGAAACAATTGCAGCGGTGGATCAGCTCTTCGCGTAATCCGTGTCATTTTCCGATTCAATCCCCTTATGACCCTATCTGAGCAACTACATCGAGTGTAGTGTTGCATACAGCCTGAATGCGCACCTAGAGACAAACATTGAGCGTGTCGAGTGTCTTTCGCGGCACAGCCTCGGTGTCTTGGAGATGTTCATGTCTAAGGCAAGGTTTGGCGTTGTGTGTCGTTGGCGATATTTCAGTTGCGCCTCCGGGGCCATTGATCCCACGTAAATCATGGATACCGAGTATGGCGACGTTGGGAAGGTTTGCTGAGCCATGCTTGGTGTCGTTAAGATTGTAGGTTGCCACGCACGCTGTGGTCCATGTTTCGTTTTTTTGGCAACGCCAACACGCAAGAAGAATACCTACGCACGGCTGCGCGACGCAACCCACGTAAGTGTTATTGTTCAGCGGTCGGACAAAGCGCGCTCACATTTGGACGAAGTCGCCCATGCCCAGCTGAGAGTAGACGAGAAGCGCGCGTCTTTGACACGCGCTCATGACGCTTGGGCCTTGTCGCGTGATTTGTCATCACTCAATCAAATATCAAAGGGGGCCGGGGTGCACAGAAGAATTTGCTCCACATTGCAAGCTGCATGCAGACGCGCCTTGAATTCTTCTGCCAAGCGATCAACTATCGCTTCAGTACGCGACAAACCATGTGTATTAGACCACGCTCTCATGTCCCCCGTTCTCCCGACCTCGGGAACTGGAGGTCATCTTTTCCGCTGCAGCTCCCTCCCTCCACTACACTCCCTCAACCGAAGGTCGAGTTCAGTGGCCCGAACTTGATGTTGCTGTAGACAACAGCGGCATCAGCATGTTGGCTTTCAATGTCTGCCGGCACACCGCTCGTCGTCTCGCATTCTCCCCTGCCGGTACCTAGATCCGTGTCTGGGTTCTTGTCTGTGGGATACGTAGAGTCAAGCCAAAGCATGTTGCTGTAATGGTCATCCCACAGGCTCATGACGAGGACCATGCCGTTTGCGAGAGCCTTTGCCATGTTCGCCATACCGCCCTTGTCTTTGAACGTGTACGTATCGTGGAATGCAGCTTTCTGTTCGTCGCAAAACTTTGTTGTGATGGAGTTCCCGTCTACGCCAGGAACAGTAGATGCAGGCTGCGCAATAGTCTTGCCGTTCTGGACATAGAAACGCTTGATCTCCATAGCGTCCCCGGTGCCGACAAATTGTGTGACCACGGTGAACTTCTTTGAAGTGTCTACCGTCTTGCCCTTGCCATAGAAGTCTTTGACACCCATGCGGTAGCTGTTGAAGTCACAGCCGTCAGGATCGCAAACCCCGGCATAACGGTCGGCCGAATAGGTACCTCCGCAACCGTCGCCGTCACAACGAGACTGCTCGATTGTGGAGCACGAGTGTGGGGTGACGGCTGTGCTGACAGCGTTCGCTTCCCAGATGTCCATCTCTGCGCAGCACGAACCATGGCCCCCAACCCCTGCATTCGCATCGTTGGAGGATGGCTGCCAACCTTCGACATTTCCCTGCAGCATTCTGAGTAGCTGAAAACCAATTCTTGGAACCGAGCGTGACTTACCTCGCCGTTGATGAACTTCAAATCCCGTGGGCACTGTGCGTCGCAATACCCTGTGCCGTATTTGGCGCCAGCCTTGTTCGTCGAGAATTTCTTCAATCCGCCATCTGCATCCATTGAAACAAAGTACAAAGCGCCATTGAATCCGCATGGCAGGTTCGACACGTCCACATCGAACGTGAACTCTTGGTTGCCGGTAAACTTAAACATCTGTTCAAATCCACGGATCAGTTGAGTCACTGTTTGTACCTACGAGAACGTTACTTACCTCGTAAGTCGTATCATCCTTCATGAGATACGTCCGAGAACCGATGTTTGTGGAGTAGGAACCCTTCGTGATGAACTTCAACTTCAGGGAGTTACTGCCCGCGGTGATGCCGTATGTGCCACTGTAGTCTGCGCCGTCAACGGCACAGTTGGCCGCACATGCCTTATTGTCTGGGCAGGCAGTTGCGTTCCACTCGTTACCTGTGTAACAGTTGTCATAGCTAGTCTTGTGTTAGCAGCTGAGTCAACCCAACAGATTGTGCCTATGCCATTACCCTCCTTTGACATGAAGCCATCGCCAATTGGCGTCGATGACAATTTTACCGTTCTTGGTTGTGCAGCTACCCTTGGCGGTGCAAGACTGCCATGTCATTCCTGGATGGGTTTCGGTTTGCTGAGTACCAACAAGCTGTGCGTGAACGACGTGGTAAAACCACGCGGCAATGACGAAGTAGTGATACATGCCCAGATGGTGAGCAGTACAGGCTTTGGGGTTTCAGTAATATCGTGGGCAAAGACTGACAAAGGGTTGAATCAAGATCATGGCAAGTGCATCGGCAGGCGTCTCTTATGTCCCTTTTCGTGGAGCCTTCTAATTACCCTTGGGCGTATGTACTCTATGTTCCATCTTTCAATCAATGTGTCAATAAATGCTAAACCACGCCCCAACTGCTGCAATTGGCGTTCAAAGCCTTTTCTCGCATACCGATAATGCGCGCCCCCTACATGCCATGTCGAGATTCATCTCACTGGAGGCTAGAACATGACCGACCACAGACGCGGACAGCTTATGAGATGAATTGACTGCTTAGTGCGACGCGGACACCCGTAGGTCTACAGGGCAATCTCCACGCAATGTAGGAATCATTAGACATTGTCATCGCAGCCAGAAGGTCACTCGGACAGGCGATGTGATGCAACAACCCTTTTGTTCGGCTGTCTGCCCGGCTAAGCATACCAAGCATCTTGAAGCTCACTGCCATGAGCTGGGCGCTGAGCACTATTAACTGGATATTTCAATTCCAAGTCAAGAGCAGCTCCTGCACAGATGCATGCGCCTCGGCGCCTCAGACCCGGTCCCGTAACACCCTGTTAAACTACGATTAGAATGCGTCTTAGGTCTTCGATGGGTCATGTTGTCACTGCACAGCGGAGAGTTCAACTGCCGAAGAAGATATGAAGGCAAGCCAAGCTGATCATCAATTATATGAAAAACAAGTACCGAAGAGGGGTAGATTGACGATACTGTTGATACCACGAGACTGGAAATGAGACATGACCAGCATTCCCCGCATTGGCACAAAGAGGACCCGATGAGTGCGTCGAAATGCCGGCGATTCCATTTATTAATCGTCAGCACTGGTGACGCTACACTATCGGCAGGATGAGTGAATGCTACCTAGCTGGAGGTATGGCGGCCTGAGCGTACCTGGGGACGCAATGGTTAACTGGGTCTGTTGCATCTCCGTCTTATATCCGAGTCTGTGCGCTCCAATCTATTGCCTCATCTCCACCTGATCTCCGCCTTGTCCGACCTCCAGCTGTTCCGCCATTGTCAACGCGCATCGCAGTCCCTAGTTGCCATCCGTCATATGCCATGTCCGCTCCCGGCGCCGAGTGGATTAGCGACAGGTCTCGCGAGGAATCCCCAGAAGGTCACGATGGCTTGTCGCAGCGACGCACGAGCAAGAAGCGCAAAGTGTTGTCGTGCTACGCTTGTCGCAACCGCAAGATGAAGTGTGATCGCGTCTTTCCAGTATGTGGCCGATGTCAGAAAAACGACAGAGGTCACGAGTGTACATATGACCCCCGGCTACTTCAAGAGTCCCACCGTGACAGGGGCGCTGCGTCTCTTGCGCTTACAGAGCTGCCAGTCGAGAGCGAGCCCTCCTCGGACGCATCGAATGCATTACAACGAAAACTCAAAACACAAGAGAGACGAATTGCCATTCTGGAACAGAAACTCATCAATCGAAATGGCGGTGGTAATCCCCCGCAATATGGGGAGTTTGTGCCCCATGAACCCAAGATCACAGAGGAAATCATGTTCAGAGGAAAGGGTTTCAGATCCCAGTTCAACGGCGCAACGAGTATCATGAGCATGATCTCCACGGTACAGTCCCAAGCCTGACGTCAACGTGATAGAAACTGACCACCACTAAGTATCACGAGCTACAAGCTTTTACGCGAGAGGCTTTGACCGTCGATCACTCCATCATGCGTGTCAAAACCGACTTCAAAGCCTTTCGCGATCAGAGGAAGAAGTCTGCGAAGAGGCAGGCCACTAGATGCTCTGACATCGACTCTGAAATACTCGCTATCCTTCCGGAAAAGAGCATAGTTGATACGCAGGCGGCTCTCTACTTCCAAACGTGGGAAACAAGTTATA